TACATAATTATTTTGTACATTTGCCAAGGAAGCTATCATACATCCCTCATGATAATCAGTGCAAGACTCAAATTCTGGTCGTCGACGAGGGAAACAACTTCTGTGACATCTGTTCTTTCCAACTTATTGCTTACGCAGTATGGAGAAAGTATTCTAATGCCGCAAAAACAAATGCATGTTTTGTAGAAAATAACCCCTTCTTGCCAAGCCCTTGTAAGAAAAAAGTGAATAAATCTTGTGCCTGTACGTTGGTGAGTACTTGATACCGAAACATTGATTAACGGCAGAACGTCTTATCTATTAACAACATAGCATCTACGCCATAAGTAGGATTGTAAACAAAACTGGTATTATTTCACCTATCTGGGTTATCCCCATCAATTTGAAGGGGACATTTTGATTTTTGAAGCGCCAACATTTTCAATATTTTATCAAAAATGGCTCCAAATTTTTTCATTAATTTTTTCCTTTGATTGAGGACACGTAAAATGCCGAAGTTCTCATTTATGTTACATTCCATGAATTTTCGAAAATTGCAAAAATTCAAAAATTTTCAACTACAATAATGAATATATATTTTTTCTTAATGAAATCTGCGAATAAAAAAAGTCTCCAAATAGGTTCATGTTCAATTTTTCGTAAATATGATTAGGTTTTGAAAACATTTTCGTCAAACTCAGGCAATTTTTACATTTAATAAAATATTTTCTCAAAGGAGCTCTAAACCGTTTCTTTAATTTTTCCCTCGAAGCAAAAAAGGTAAAGAAAGTGGTAAAGTCTCATTTTCAGCGCACACACTATTTTCGAAAATTTGCAAAAATTTCCAATTTAACGCTTTTTTTAGTTAATAAAAGGGTGTCAAACCAGTATCAAATGTTTCGAACCACCATTGTAGCAGGTGGTAATGATCCTATGATATGGATGATATTCTGATGAAAGAAAATAGACGTAAAGAAGGGTATAGTTTGAGCTAAGAACAAAAAAATACACTTCTTTTACTTTTAGAAGTTTTGGTAACAGATCAGAGTATTAAAAAAATGGATGCTCAGTTCAATGTAATTAAGGCAAACTTGGGTGATATTACTATTGGATTGCTACATAATACTGCGATGAATTGTTGCAAATACTGTAACAGTTAAATTTATACGTGTTTATATCATTTTTAAAAGAAAACAAATTATTGATGTTTCTGTCAAAATACACACCGCAGGTCCTTCGTTTGATTTGGTTGAATTGGATTTTTTCGAGTTATAGATGAATAGTAATGGGGCAGAAACTAAAAAAAATCAATATTACTCAACTCCTTCCAATAATATGAGAAAAATGTGCTGTTGTAGCACATCTAGTATTGTCCACAGTTTGACCCACCTTTAGTTACGAACATGGTTGAGCACGGTAAATAACAAGAGAAGTGAGCTTTTGATGCAGACGTGACACGAGGTGGAATGGGCAGCCAATTCTGTCACAAACTCATAAAAAGCACCTTCCGCGCCACTGCAGCCGGGTGCCTCCGGTGCCGCACTGTATTCTTCTCCGAGCTATTGAATCCGACACCAGACTCCTACTACTGTGTCGCTATAGTTCGCAATCTCACACAATATCAAGAGCATAGTTTTGCTGTTCGTTCGCAATTATAGAAGCGTCGAAATGTGAGGATCACTTTTGCGCGCAGTAGAAACAATCATCCACGCAATTGTTCTCGCTTTGATAAACCGACACCCGAACCCTAGACATTCTTCACACACCATGTTACGTCTAGCATGTAAAATGGCGTCCGATTACGAGAGACAGGCAAGGGACAATCGACTAAACACACGGGTAGGGGGGAGGGGTGAAGGCGGAGATCGACTTAAGGTGGAAATATTACTGATGACAATTCTTTGAACATATTTAATTATTACAATACATCTGTTATCAAGTACCAAGGACACAACTTGGTATTCTTTACGTCTGCGGAACATATTTCCTAACGGAAACGCGTCTAAAAAGGTGACAGACTGGTTACAATTATGTATTATGGATGATCTTGAGCCCCGGAAACAATCTCTGAGTAGAATGGCTAGAGTAAGTATAATATCTAGACAAATATTTTAAAACTAAAATCAAGAATGTTACGGGATCTACTTTGCGATCTTCTCTTGATGTAAACTCGGAGTTATGTGAATGTTTCTTCCCCACAAGCTTTTGAACCACTGTTGCGGATGATATCAAATTAAACGCGAACAAATTTGAGAAGACAAGAAGTTTAGAAGTGACTATTATTACTTCTATACATACCGTAAAACTATTCCTAGAAAAGCTGCAACTCCGATTGATTAACGGATGAGTGAGTATTTCGCGTGACGGGGCGCATGTAGTACTGTAGTCATTAGTCCCGTAAGTGCAGTGCATTTTTTATTGTGGGAGTTTGGAGAAAATATTTGTCTCTGGATGTTGAGATCTGATGCCGACCTACAAGTCAGCTTGCGGTGCTTTCCCCATTTATATATTTCTCATTAACATGGCACCGTTAATTTACACGTGTACGTTGTATGTATGTATTTGCCATTTTGGATCGACTTGGCGGCTAGCTAACGGTGTTCCCAAGCTTGGGCCTAGGTTAATTCCCTCGCTTGGTGGGTAAGAGAGGCATATAAAGAACATGAGGTATTGCGGTGAAGACTTCAACTAGCAAACTCCGCCTCCTTGAGCTTTTCTTCGGCACACAGCTACAGAAACGGAGACGAATTTTAAGGAAAGCAACAACTCTAGTTTTGGCTCGACCGGGAATCGAACCGGGAATCAAACCACGAGAAGTTAGTACACTGTCAATTTCATAAATTTATTATTAGTCAACTAATATCCTATTTAGGGCAAGGGCCTCCTGGCATATGCGGTGAATGCTGAATGAAGTGAGTGATGACGAAGGGTGAAAGGACTAGGATGATGGTGGGAGGTGGAAGGTTGGGAGGTGATCGTGGCATTTTTTTAGCCAACCTAGCATTCGGCTTATGACCAAGGGAAACCACGATAAAGCCTAGAACCCAATGGCCGGGATCGAACCCGATCACCCGATTGCGACTTTTGCGCGGTACGCATTGAGCCACTTCATTCGACAGAGCCACTCATACTACATAACAATATAACAACACCACCCGAACTCATTCCGATGTTAAGAAATTGTTACTGGTTGGGATTACTCAGAAGACTGCTGCAAACTACCCTCGTCGAACAATTACTGTTTTATTCGGTTCTACCTTTGGGTGTCATTGCGCATCGCAGCAAAGCGAGCGCTGTCTGAGCGTGTGTATGTAGGAAAACGTCACTAACGGAACTCGCTTGAATATATTATTCAGAAGCGTCTGTTCGCCAGTCTCCCTACGAAAGTATCTATCTAATACACAGACGAATCTCTCAAGCGAATATCAAGTGAATGGAAAGAGAACCTCGAGCGAGTCAATGTTTTCTCGAGCGCCAGCCTCCATCTCACATCGATACTTCTCTGCCAGACCCGTCCAGTCTCCCGCTTCCTACTCGCGTAATAGTATTGGTGGAGACTTTGCTGCAATATAGTAACATCGTGTTATTGGTCTAAGTACAAGTTGGTCGGTCATGTTGCGAGTTTTTCTGGTTTGTCGAGTTAGTCAGTGTAATCTTCTGTTCGTCATCATTCTTTTGTGGAACAAGGGACAGGTCTCGTTTCTCTTTCATATCATTATTCCCCAGTGGACTCACACCTCGTCATTGTCTGAATTGCTTGCGCCTTCTATGTGTAAGCTGCGGATTATAGTTTTCATGCGATGAAAAAAAGAGTTACATCACATCGCACTGTATCGAAACGTGTTTGTTTTTGCTAGCGCACCATCATGAAGAGAATGACAGACGATGTGAAGTGGATTGTCTATGGCGGCCAGAAGCAGATCAAGAGATTACCGTGGCTGGACTTGGAGAAGATACGAAGTATGATACAATAACGAAATTATACGCATAATATATACATAATATTAAAAAAGGACATTACATGAATACATTTCAATGTATAATAACAAAAATAATATACTCAACCATACATAAAGTACAAGACTCTTGCAAGAAAATAATTATTCCTATTACAATATTAGGAAAGAATATTGAGAATTAGAAAAGATAATTAGAATATTAGGGGGAAATACATTTCAATTTTTGATACTAATGCATACAATATAGTACAGATCAATTATAGGAATTCATTAATTTTTATAAAACGTTCGACGTTTATAAATTAGACTATTTTGAAGACTTAATTTTATTTCATTTTTAAATTTGCTGAAAGACATTGGAGTATCTAAATATGATGGAATTTTATTATATAATTTAGGCACTCTATATTTTAGAATAATATAATAATAATGATAATAATGATAACAATAATAATAATAATGCCCTAATCTTTCCTTCTGGGAAAATAAAAAACTAATTTAATTTATTCATATAATAACTTTATTGTACATTTTATAAAACACGTTTTATAAAAAGTCTGACAGATTTTTTAGAAGCATAGATTTGTGTTAATGCCGGTTAATGAATCCGGAAATGCTTCGATATTGCAATGTGTTACATTTCCCACGCTACTGGTCACGTGATTATTAATCACATTTTACGCTACTCTTGGCCAAAAATTTAATTGACAAAGAATTTCTCGGGAGTATAGGTTTGTTCTATATTCTGGTTTGGGCAAGATTATCAAGTATTGTATTGTTGTTAAAATGTTTTCCCTTAATTTTGGGCTTGCATTCGCTACGACACTGTCGTGGAGAAATGATTTACTTGTGCGAGATAACATTGAAGTAACAATTCCGGACGACATTTCACACTCGCAGAAGCAGAATATGCGGCGAAGATGCGCTTAACACTTGAGGGTTCTGCGGGTTGCATAGAGCAACTGTTCAGGGGCGCTTAAGACAGCCTAAATGAATAAAATCAACGTGCGTGTATGTGCAACAGACATAGCCTCATTTACATTGTACTTCTTTACCGATATTCTTTGCGCATGTTCAAGCAGTAAATTGACAATGTTTTATTGCAATCGGATGATCGGTACGGCACTGCATAAAAAACGAAACAAACAAACATTGATTTTTATATATTAGATGAGGAGACGTAAAGGGATTTAGGTTTTTATTTTTCACAGTCTCATCTATCGAATCGAAAGTATTAAAAATATTACTTTCTTGAATATCAGTTTTCTATTTGAAACATTAAAGTTGGCGTCTGCTCACGCAACGTGGTGGATAGAGACAGGATGAATGCAGTATTTATGTATTTGTTACTCAGAACATTGACACTACTGTCATTTTTTGTACAATGAATATCTTTCAAGATCGTTATCAATTGAATAAACCAATCGGTAGACAATTCTGAGTAACTAATTAGATATCTCTATAAATTCGTATTTGTTTAACCTTCCATTGGACGCAAGATTATAAGATTGTGCATGATTCCTTCCCTCTCCTGTCTTAAAATGTCCTAGCATTGCTCACTTGCTTTCAACATCACTATGTAAATTGTTCGAAACCTCTTGCAACAAAATTAATGCATTGCTGCTGTACTCGTAGCTATTTTTCCAGTTTCTTGGTTAGTGTTCTGTACTTTCTATCACTGGAGCTGAAAATCAATTCTATGTTAGGGACAATTAAGAAGAAGCATAGATTGGTTTCAATTTACTTGACGACAAAAGAACCGAAATTGAAACTATAATGTAGAATTTTTGGAGAGGATGAAACCCTCAAACGAAAGATCGTCCTTTCGAAGAAAGATTAGGAGACACTGATACCAAAATAAGTAGAACTGAAGAGCAATCCGATCCAAACGATAAATAATGTTTTAATGGAAGACATAAAAGTTCAAGTAGTAAGACATAAAATTGCACGTTTCTTATCAAAATAATGCACGATGAATTGTCAGTAGTTTTGAGCCTCTTTTTTCACTAAACATTTATTCAACTTATATCTACATTGTTTACATTCTACGCTAAAGATATCATTCTCATACATTGTGAGTAATTCTGAACAAAAATTGCGGCTATTGGAAGGTTAATTTAATTTGAGCAGTACCATTATTATGCGACATCATTTAACTGTCTTGTTGTTGTGTTTCAGTTAATGCAGTCACTGAAGGTGAGTAACACAATGATTTGCTGCATTCCGTGACCACTAAGGACGAAACTAATTCAAAGGAAAATTTTCAAAATAGGCTAAAATTGTACCTTATTCATTTATGTTTTCTTATTATAATGAATTGTATAATGTCTACTATCTTATTTATTTTATTGGCATAATTTCGCGACTTTAATAAACAGACTCAGTATTTTTACTCGTATTACAATTTTATTCTTGTTATACAATTATGACGTTTCGACCCTATATGGGTGTTGAAAAATGTGCCCTTCAGAAAATCTAGTGTCCAGGTGTGTTGACCACATCACTAATAACCAGCTAGCATTTTGATAAAAAAATAGTATTACAATACCTACTCAAGTCGTAAACTTCATCCGGCCAACCAGTATGACACAAGTCGCTTTTTTGTAAAGTGTGAGAACATTTTACCAATTTTTAAAATAGCGACCAGTGTCATACGTGTTGACCGGATGATGTTTACGACTTGAATAGGTTTTTTATACCAATGACAACTTTTTTTTAAATTCTACAATACTATCCAATTAAACCTCTTGTGTATTATTCCCAAAGATCTTATCACACCCAACACGCCGTGCCAAACATTCCCCACATGGAAAGGACTGGACGAATGAAGTTTTACCAATTCAGATCTAAAATCTTATAAGCATATTTTCAAATGCTAAGAAGCAGATACGTAACTTGAAGAGGAAATTCTTTCTTTCTTCCGAATAGTTTTGAATTCCTTCTTTTAAAAGTAGTTGATGTAAGTGTTGGGAATCGTTACTCTAAATCGCTGTAATTGACGTTTTAGTAGCATATTTTCTGATACTTTATCATGTAATCGATTGTTTAAATACTCCATTTCCTTACAAATAAACTCATTTCATTTTTTGTTTCGTTTAGACGTTGAATTAGAAGAACTAGACATTCAAGTACAAGTGGAAGCAGAAGCCGTCGAAGTGACGGTAGAAAGTAATAGCACGTGGAATAAGAATGGCAGACGGAAACGAAAAGGTAAGCAACCATTTACCCAACATCGTATTGCAGTCTATTAAGCTTAAGAGTTTAATTACGTAGGATGTATTTGTAGTTCACTACACATCATCTGTTTCATCTGTTCTTATAAAAGCAGTACGTTGCTCTGAATGTACAGCTCTTTTTTCGATCGCCAAACAAGTAAGGTTACAATGCTTTTATGGACAGGTGTGCCTGAAAAAGAACTCTGGATTTTCCACGAAGCAACAAGTCATGTCAATACTTTCGAAATGTTTTTCAACCATCCGATAAACGCATCGTAATTTACAGTTGACAAATGTTATAATAATCAAAGTCCCAAACGATTAAACAGTATCTCCTTACAGAAACAAAGATAGAGCAAACAAACTAAGCCGGGGTTCTTGGTTGCCACAGTTCCCGTTGGGATGCGACTGCTATGCTTACTAAACGGTCACACCTCGTATTAACTAAGGCTGACTCACAACAATGGAGCGGTTAAAGTTTATACATTTTGACGATAACAAACCAACACCGATATTTGTGATATCGGATTACGTTGTTTTCATATTTTTAGTAATAGCACATACAAATAAGAAAAAATATAATAATATGAAGTTCCTTGCTTTGGAATAGAAATATGTGAACGCCATCTTTTGATACAATTAATTTGTTTCGATTCTTCTTAGCGTATGGGGGACTGTGAAAATTTTAAAGATACGATTCATACGCTATAATATTTGTGCTGTATACTTTTAAAATATAGATATGGTCGTAACAATTAAAGTACTTCTGCTTCCACATCAATGATCCCGTCTCCATTAGTTAGTTGTGGTAGAGTAGATCAAGGGGCACAACAGCTCCTGACAGGGCCAAGTCCTACAGCGGCATCCAGGTCAATGAGTGCCCATAGACCCTCTGCCCACAGACCCAGTAACGTAACCGCCGCGGGCGAAAGTGACGGTGGGCGTAGCTATGGCTTGACCGCCACTTCACTTACCAGGAAATCTGTCATGAGTTATCCCAAAATCGTCCGAAACTACAGTGGTGCTGAGGGTCGTCACAGGAACCTTGGATTACATACTCACAACGGCTGACCTTACAAATTCTAAGCAAAGAAATCGAGAAGGCTACTAAGAAATTCTGTGGAGAGCAATCGCCCCAACTCGTAAATATTGTTTGGAGAAAATACCATTAAAATTAAATGAAAATCGATGAAAACAACAAAAATGCTTTAAAAATTATGTTAAGAAAGGTAAAGAACAAAAAAGGTAAAAAATAACTTATTTGCCGAAATATGCAAAAAGGCCATGTAAAAATGTCTCATTTCCTTTTGTCATAACATAAAATTAATGCATGTACAAAAGATTATTGTTCTAAAGTAAAAAGAAAATTTGACATTTTATTAAAATCCGCTCTTTACGTCTTACGAACCTGCATACGGCGAGAAGGGAACGTGGATACGTTGTCCTTGTATTGTCCGAATAATATTTCTATCTACTTGGCAGCTGGGGTGAGAAAAGAGATGCTGCCACTTACTCGGGCGGTAGTCAAGTGATCGTTCTTGCATCAGATGACAACAGTAGCAAGAAACAAACCTCAATAAGAGCACACAACAGTAGATGTCACAGAACGGCAAACTCGATGCACAACCGGACGTAATGGCGCTATAAGTCTTACAGTTGTTTCGCGACATGAGATTTCAGTTTTTTTAATAAGCTTCAGCAACTCTGCAGTGACATCAATTTGAAGTCTCTCTTTGGATACCGGAACACCCTCACTCCTGTCAGCCGCCAGCTGTCAAGTAAACAGACGTCTTATGCGTAGTGTATATCGTGGTGCGCGATGTGCGCAGGTAGGAAGAAGCGCTTGCCGAGCGTGGAGAGCCGCGAGGTGCAGACGGAGGCGCCGATGGAGGCGGAGGAGGCGGCGAGGGAGGCGGAGGAGGTGCTGCCACCCGCCACCCCGGACCTGTCGGCGCTGCTGCTGCCCGAGCTGCCCAAGACGCCCAACTGCGCGTGGGTGCACCCGGGCTGCAAGGTGGAGCTGCGCGGGGTGCCCATCCACGAGGTCATGCGCACCAAGACCACGCTGCAGTGCTGGTGCGGCGAGAAGCCCGTACGTCTCCTTGCTCATTCCAAGCACTGCTTACCGCAAAGCTAGGTCAGGGTGGTTGATTGGCGCGGTGAGTAGCCCGTACGTCCCCTTGCTCATTCCAATCACAGCTTACCGGCAAAGCTGAGTAAGGGTGGTTGATTGGCGCGGCGAGAAGCCAGTACGTCTCCTTGCTCATTACAACCACAGCTTACCGGCAAAGCAGGGTCTGGGTGGTTGGTTCGTGCGGCGAGAAGCCCATAGTCTATTTGCTCATTCCAAGCACAGCTTACCGGCAAAGCGGGGTCAGGGTGGTTGGTTGGTGCGGCGAGAAGCCCGAACGGCTCCTTGCGCATTCCAACCACAGCTTGCCGGCAAAGCTGGATCAGGGTGGTTGGTTGGCGCGGCGAGAAGCCAGTACGTCTCCTTGCTCATTACAACCACAGCTTACCGGCAAAGCTGGGTCAGGGTGGTTGGTTGGCGCGGCGAGAAGCCCCTACGTTTCCCTGCTCATTTCAACCACAGCTTACCGACAAAGCGGGGTCAGGGTGGTTGGTTGGTTGTGATTCCGTGCGCATCACTCAGGTCATTAGTCCGTAAACATAGTGCATGTTTTGTTCGGGAGTTGGCAGTGATCTCCACTGTTGGATCGCAAGATCCGGAGCCGATCTATCGTCGGATACCGGGGAATTCTCCAATCAGGTATCTACCAACAGCGGGGCACCGCCCCAGCCGGGACATGCTCTAAGCTTCTGACCGGTCGCGAGACATTAATATAGTATGTGTGTGTAAGTAAGGGGAGATGACAAGTCAAGGAAGAGGAAGGAATGCTCGTCTGCGGTCCGTAGTAAGGTCCGTTTGTAAGGGTACCTGCCTGTTAAGTGGTATTACCCGAGAAACCGCGGGAAACTACCGACCAGAGCAGCCGGCCTCCAGAATTCTCCTCCAGACAGAGATAGGGTCATATGAATAAAAATGAGCACTTGCTCCTGAGTACTTGCTCCGGGGCAAAGTGAGTCTACTCCGCGGCACTGAGCAGAAGCTCGATTTCGTATGAATAAAAACTTCGTATGGTCTCCGAAGAACTTTACTCCATGTCTCGCCGAGCATTTGCGCGTCGTGAACAAGTGATAGTGCACGCCTAAGAGTTTTTAAAAAATTGTGTTTCTTGAGGCAAAAAGAGGCTTACATACTTACGCGCGTCGCGCCACATTTGTGCGGGACTAAAGAGCCAATAGTTTGTTGTCTCATTCTTTAAATTCGAATGTGAATAGCCCAGGTAACGAAAAACAGGCCGACTAGTGGCCGCAGACTAATTTTACCGAAATGCTAAGTGAATATAAATATTATTTTTGAAAAAAGGAGCCAGCTTTCGGAAGTACGCCTGTGCGTCGAAACGAAACATTACAAAGTTTCAAAAAAGAGTACCCCGGAAAATTCCCAAGTAGATAAAGAGCGAAAGCCAATTAACATAGAAGATATTCAATATGAAAAACGCGCCTGAAAGCAAACGCCGATAAAAATCGTACCAACCATACATTGTACTTTTCGATTCGGCAAAGTTCTAATAGTCTACATCAAGAGAATTTCGCCTAATCTTGCATTTTTTAGTCCGCTGCATATGCATATCAACACACGGTAAAAAATCGGCCCAATTTAACCTTACTTTTCAAACGTGAGTCTGCTACTAAGGTCCCTCCAAAATATTGGAGAAGTGCTCACTCTAAGAGAGTAAACGCTTAACTTTATTCATCAAATTCTGAGCATTTGCTCGCCAGTTGAGAGTACGCTCAGAGTTGAAGCAAGTACTCAGAGACTGAGCAATTACTTACCCACTTTATTCATACCAAACTGAGTAAGATCTCGGAAACTCGGAGCAAAGAGTACTTGCTTACTTTTATTCATACCATCCATTAAGTTGGACCTCGCGATCTAGTAGCTAATAACGAAAATCTTGCCACTGTCGTGACTCGAACCTAGAACCTCCCCGTCAGAGACACTGCAATGATATCAGTTGACACACTGAGTCACCTCTCCAGGACTAAGGTGGCTCAGGGCAACAACTAATGTTACTGGAGTTACTGGTAGTTTATTTAAATTGCTATTTGCTGCACTCCCCAAATATGACAGACGTAGTTAAGTGTAGGTCTTATTATTGATATCAAAATTGATATTGACGTTTATTAATGGGAACAGTTTTAACATGTTTATGAATGTTTAGTTAGCTGTAATTTTTATGTGATCTTTGCAAGTAAGCCTTCGTCGTGCAAGTAGGCCTTTGCCTGTGTAGTCCTAGGAAATTTAATGAAGTTGTAGGGGACAGCCACATACGTGTTATTTAAAATTAATGAATTTATAGTTTAGACTTTTTTTAACGGAAATATTTTTGCTTTACATTTGGATGGGTTGATTTTAATTTTTTATTGCCGAAACCATTCTATGAGTTTAAATCCTCTTGAAGTTTGTTTCGGCTTATTAAGTTTTGAAGTTATGTAAATATCACAGTGTCATCTGCGGAATAACGCTATTTTTGAATGCTTTAGTTGTGGGTGATCTGAAATAAATATATTGAATAGGAAAATAAATATTGAACAGGTTTGTGATAATGGCGATCCCTGAGAGACACTGACCGTGATATTGTAATCAAAAGATTGTACTAAGTTTTTTTATTTATTTACGTCAAAACACGTTAAAACTGTGTGTGATGTGCTGCGGGAGAAGTTAATTTGAAGTTACATTTATCTCCAGAAGCAATACATTAATTGTCGTTGCTAAAATTAATATTACTTTCCTTTTGGATGATCAGTGTAGTCTCTAATCGTACCGAAACAGTTGTGCAGCAGAAAAGATTTTACTTGGGTCTTTAATTTTATATCGAACTTAATCGTTTAATGTCATCTGACAAGGTGTTGTGAAATAATGTACATAAATTGTATGTGAATTGTTTGCAGTGAGCTGTTGACACTGTCACCTGATGAATATGATTACTACTTTGAGTGTTGCAGTTATAGGCAACTGCGTTTTCTGAAAATATATTCCCGCCCTTAAGTAAGTCATTTTTGATAAACACCACTGATTCATATATTAAGAGACAAGGTGAGGGTAAGATACCTAAATTAATAAAGAGAGGCTTATAAGAATCACATGTGTGTAATTTGCTTATTATTCGTACAATTCTCTTTTGTAATCTAAAAGTCAGGGGGCTATAAGATGTATTTCCCCAGAATATTAGGCTATATCTCAGGCGGGAATGAACAGTCACGAAATATACACAACGAGCAGAATGGAGGCTGACTGAATTTGAAAGAATTCTGAAAGCGTAGCATAAAGAACTTAATTTAGTGTCCAATTCATTTAAATAGACGATCTATTTAAGGTTTGACTGAATTGAAAGACCTAAAAAGTTTGTTACCTTAGCATTAGCTAATGGCACACCGTTCATTTTCAATGGAGTTCGTCAAGTCAATCAAGTTGACTTGTACTTTGAAACTGCTATTCATTAGTAAGCTTTTTATTATTACTTGTAAATATTATGGGAATTCATATTGCCATATTTTAATTAACCTTGGGCTTTACTTTATCGAACGCTTTTTTTACGTGTAGAAATAGTGCTAATGTATGTTTTGATTTTTGGAAATTAGTAGCAATAGAATCGGTTGATCTTAATAGTTGATGTATTGTTGAATGATTATTGCGGTAACCAAATTGTGACGAGAGAATAATATTGTAACTGTTTATGAATATGTTAGTTCTATTTAGTATTTATTTTTTGAATATTGGGAGGAGATTGATTGGTCGATAATTCTCTGTTTTAGAATGGTCTTTACTTACTTTTGCAGTGAGTATTAACAGTGCCATTGTCCAGGAATGTGAGAAATCGACGCTAGAACTGCATATTGCTGTTAAGTGGTTAATTGCTTGTTTTGGAAGTTTTTTAATTATTAAGCTTGGTATTTTGTCAACACCTGGGAATTTTTTTTGTTTTTTAGATTTTTAATTAAAAATTGTGTTTTTGTTGGGCAAATGAATTTAATTCTTTCTGGAAGTGTGGAATGGAGTTGCTAAAGCTCTGAATTAATTTTATTTGTAAATGTGATACTTCCGGGTGCAGTATTTGTGAAGGTGTCTTTAAATATGTACTAGGAGTTCAGCTTTTTCTATATTAGTAGTTGATGTTGTATATGATATGTATTGTAGTTGATGTAAGTACACGATTTTGTGTTTTTTTTATTGGTTGTTCTTTTTTTCTGTCCAAAGCGATGAATAATTTGGTTGAAGTTGAGAAGTATACTTGTCAAATTGGGAGAATCTATACTGTTGTAGTTTGTTTTTAACTATATTGGTTAGAGAATTTAATATAGGTTTAATCGAGGAACTTTGGCTGATTTACTACTGTGTGTATTTTATGTCTACAGGAAATTAGATTTGTTATGTCAGTTGCTAGGTTAGGGGAATTATTTTTATTTTGTTCTTGTTAGTTTATCTAGAGGTTGATGATTTTATTGCACTTTTTCTATTATTTTCAAAGGTTTTATAGATTGGACAATATCGTTTGTTGTATTTAGGTTTTTGGGATAGTTATCCAATTTCATTATTTGGTTCTGAAAGTTCCAATTTCTTAGACCATTTATTAGCGGATTGTAACAAGTAATTGTTGGAGTTGTTTGATTGAATAATTTTAATATTGGTACACTATTGAAAAGTCGATGAAGGTCCATTATTTCACGTCCCTGGACAGCATCTAATAATTCTAATGCACATATTTCTAATTGTTCTAATTTTTTGTTGAATAGTCTGTAAACTGAGATAATTGGATAGTTTTTTTTTTAATTTTAATTTTCTTTCTTCGTTTGAATATGCTGTAAGGATGCCATAGGTTGTGACGGAAATTGTTTTCTTTGTTAGATCGCGGGAAGTTAAGTGTTGAATTTCTTTCTTGTCGCAGAATTTACGAAATTTTCTAAAGTCATCTATTGTGAATAATATTGCAATATGATTTAGTTTTATTTTTGAAGTAAAGACATTTGCAACAAGCTTTTTGATTTCCACTTTTAATGATGTAAAGT